ATGCAACGAAGGAAAGCGCACCTTAAGCGGTTGATCTCCACACCAACGATCATCCCAAAACCTGATATTATTGCCATTTCCAACCTCATAGCTCAAATTATCTTGAAAGTCACTCCATCCTCGTCGGATATACCTCCACATGAACAAAATAATAAAAGAGAATATATGCCAACTAGAGGAGGTACCAACTGAATATAAAACCCTAATTATGTATCTAATTTGGAAAATCTTTCATATATTGTATATCTTCTATGATTCACATAATATAGTCTTTTTGACATATTATTCATGTAAATTCTTTTACTTTTATGTGTTAAGTCACAACAGTTTTTGAAATTTTAAAGTCATCCGTTCGTTAAGTCCATACTGATGTGTAAATGTAATTCTGCTGGCACGATCAGGTAAGGCACCAAATAAAGCAATGAGAACAACTATGTGACCAAATATGTTGTAAAATTGACAAATATGATTATAAGCAGTGTAACATCAAATTTAATTCCCACCAAATATATAGTAATATAAATATAATTATAGTAAGTTTAATTCCAAAATTAGTGCCACTTGGTGCTAACTGGATCCTAAAATTCTTTTGTTTCAGTGCTTTCTTTTGAGGTTTCTGTCTCAAAATATAGACATATTGTGGTGCTCAGAAAGTAACTAACGATGAACTACCCCATAGAAAGACTATCTCTTTGAGATGTTTCTCTTTCTTTACTGTAACTTGTTATTGCAGGATTATATAAGACTACCCATCCAATAAATGCCATACTGTTGTCAAAATGTAATATAGTTTTAAAATTAAGATAAGATTTTTGCACTTACGCATCTCATTGCTAGTTGCTGTCTTCTCTCACAATCTTCACCTTCACATCCATTATTGCTGATTTTACCTTATTGTTGTTTGATCCAATTATTGGCAACTGATTAAGGTATAATGCTTCATTTGATCTGTTTTGCAGGCATATATTAAAATAGCTCAGGCTATTTCAACTCGACCTGTAAGCTATTATTTCTTGACCTTATTGGTTGTATTTGCTTACTGTTATTAATTTTCTGCCAAGTCCTTAGGTTCTAGGGTACTGAACTTCGTTTTCTTGTTGAGTTTTAGACGTAGGATGCAATGGACAAGAACAAGAGTGAGAAAAGAAAGAGGAAGGGAGAGAGAAGAAGAAGAAAGGGGAGAAAATATCAATTTTATTCAATATTAAAGTGTAAGTATTACAATGATAAGTCCTATTTATATAGGGCAAATAAACTAAAGTCAAGAGACAGTATTAAACCAGAATCTTATCAAAATATTAAAATTAGTCTAATCTACTCTAAATAGATATAATTGAATCAAACTCTAATTTAAAATCCTATAAAAATCAAATCTTTGTTCTTATCTTCATTTCTCATCATTTTTCCCTGATTGAGAGAACTCGATTTCGGCGAGATAGACTGCGATTTTTTAGCCAAGGAGGGCGATCTTTTTGTTGACCAAATAATGAAATGATCATATGACGACAACCGAACTTGCAAATTATCCCCAAAAATAAAATCTGATCAAGGGGACGCACTTTTTTTTTTGAACCAATAGCGACAAGTAACTCCAAAAAGCAAATATGTACTATTCAACCATGAAAACTTCACTTGGATGGGCATAATGAGGAGCACAAGGAACTAGCACCGTTGACAGGCTTGCAGAAATAAATGATTGCAACATTGGGAGGCTCGAATGGACCCTAATAAGGAAATAGTTCTACTATATTAAAGACATAACTTTCATTCAAGTGTGATGGCCAATCTATTACATTAATTTCACGTGAGTGATCTAAACAAATTTCTTAACATGTTTAGAAAATCGAGTTAAAGAAAAACTTAATAAATCATATTCACCGTTAAAGTATCCGATCCTATATTGCGCATCAAAAGCGAACTCATGAGTTTCATGATTGAAAATAATGTCTGTTAATCTCGACATAAAAATTAGGAACATTGATAACAAATCAATGAGCTAAAAAAATATGATGTTAATTAGTAGGCACCAACAGAATATCAATTGGAAAAGTATGCAAGCGGACCCTTGGAAAAAAATGTGGCAATCGAGAGAGTATCAATCAGTTAAGGTAATGCCATAACAAAGTCAACCTTAAAGGTACGCAAAGGAGTAGGCAAACAGTTTGGCTTAGGCGGCAACACCATAGGTAATTTCCCAACTATATCATTGATATTCATATGGATCAAGCGCGACGAGGACGTCATGAGTCTAACGGGGGATGATTGTAATACCCAGACCAGGAAAACTTAAAGGATTTGATAGGTACTACTCATACCAATAAGGTGCACCTTCTTTTCCGGAAGTCCATCGTTAGAAATTCTACAGTTAAGCGTGCTTGACTTGGAGCAATTCTATAATGGGTGACCCCTTGAGAAGTTTTCTTGAGAAGCGTGCGAGTGAGGATAAAGCATGCTGAAAAGATCCATGTTGGTACAGTGGAGGCAGTACGTTGTCGATCTAATGGCCGGGACAGCCTGTTAAGTGGGACCCAGGTCCTTATAGGATATGTCCCATAGATTAACCTGTCAGTAAGCTTCATCTAAGGATTGAGGTGTCAAAATATTGTCACGTACAATTTCAAGATTCAAACCATTGAGAAACTTAAATGCTGTGACGTGGGGAGCTTTATAAATATCACAATGGTGCAGTAGCTCCTCAAAGTGAGCAAGATATTCGTTAACAGTGGACATACCTTGCCTACAGTGCAAAAAAATATTGATCTAACAATTGAGTCCGATAATACTATTATCTAATCTCACACAGTGACAACGCGTTGACTTAGACTAACTTTCATAACACCTAGTAGATAGCAGATTCGACAAGTGACATACTAGTATGAAAAATACGACGGAAGTCACTCATGTTGGAAAAGTCAAAGAATTTTCAAGATTAACGAGTCAATCAAGAAATGACACGCGATTAGTAAGACCATCGAAGTCCCATAGTTGGAAATTAACTTTCTTAGAAGGATAATGAACGTCCTCTATATAGTCTTTATACTGGGAAAACGGAAGGCACGCTATCATAATAATGATCAAGGGGCTTGGTGTTGTTATAAGAGTTGTTATAGGAATCAGACATGATGTTGAGTGGAGTGTTGAGACAAAGCAAGTTATTTGAAATAATTACAAATTATCACTTAACACATGCACAATATAGGAATAAAACTCTAAAATCGGCTCAAAGAAAAAATTTTAAAAAAAATTATTGTTATTTTTTAAAATGAAAACAAAGCAACTAAAAGTAGAAGCATATTATTCGTTCTTTTTTTTTTTTGAAACTGACAATTCGAAACACCTAAATAAAAGCATGTGTTCAATATAAAAGAAATGGGCACCTCACTAGACTCAAAAGAGCCCAACAGTTTCTAAGTCATCATCGTTATGTAGGTACAGCTATGATGGGGAAGAAGCTGTTTAGGACAATTCCTTTTTCCACGCTTGGAGCTAAACTTGTATCTTCATTTGGGAAGGTTGTTGATTTTGGAGACTATGCAAATAACTTAACAGAATCAGGTGGAACTAGCACTGCTGGTATTGGTGTTAATTTCTGGTGGTGGAAGGTGCGGCGAAAGACAACCGAAATATAGGTTTGGGTTTGATGGGCTTATGGTTCTGGTGTGATTTTGGCCTCTAATTTTGGTTTTGGTGTGATATTGGGCTCTGATTCCTTGTGCTGGATAGTAACAAAAATCAACAGAATTTAAAAGAAATTATGATCAATATTTATGAACAGTACTCTCTCTCTTTTTTTTTTTTTTTTGAGGTGGTGGCAGGTAAATGGCTGTTTTTGGGATGTGGAAGATGGTTGATTGGCTGTTGAAATAATTTTTTGAACTTGAACACTTCATAAAATTTGTTTTTCCATAGGAATACGACTTACTTTGATACCAAATTGGCATAGGATGCAACGAACAAGAAGAAGAGTGAGAAGAAGAAAGGGGAGACCATATAGAAGAATTTAGAGGTAGAGTATCAATTTTTATTCTATATTAAAACGCAAGTATTAAATTGAATAAGCCCCTTTATATAGGGAAAGAAGCTAAAATCAAAAGAACTTCTAATAAACTAGAACTTTATCAAAATATTTAAACTAACCTAATCTAATCTCAACAAACATAATTTGAATCAAACTCTAATTTAAAATCCTATTTAAATCATATTTTTATTCTTATCTTCATTCCGTCGGTTTTCCTCTGGACTCGATATATTTACTAATCTAAATCTTTATGACACAATGCAATCAATCTTTCTGAGCACGTGGATGGTAAGAAAGGCAAATGATGTGCTTCAGCATCTAATTTCGTATTTCCTGCCCCATCAAGATCTTTAACTGTAATGACGTAAACTTTTTAAAGTGTACAGTAATATCTATTATCAGAATAATGACTCTACATATATATGTTTATGAACATATAGGAAGACAGGAGCAGCCAATAAAGAAATTGAACGAAGGTTAATCAAATATTTTAAAAAGGTTTGGCTAAGTTTAATAACCACATCAGTGTAGAAAGATGACATGGTGAGTACTTTCGTTAAGCTGATGAATTCTATGCTGGAGTTAAAAAAAAAAGTGGTCTATATTTTATTAAGTTTAATCGAGCCGTGGTCTATGTTCATACCTGTGCTCTAATACTTCTAAGTATAAAACATATATCATCAGTTTTGTACTAGAAAAAATGGGAACATTTTCGTTCAACATATTCCATGTCGTGTCCAGTTATTCAGGCAAATTTATGTCAGTTGGCTGTGCTGTAACCAGTTAATATGAAGATATGTGAACGACCTAAAAGCGAAGGGAAAAAAAAGGAGGGAGAGAGAGTCAAATACTGAACCCTTTTCACGACCCTAGTATTTTCTAAATTTTTTCTACCACTTGTTTGCTTCAGCGATAAGCAATGCCAAATGAAGTGTGTGTGCGTGCATGGCGATGGTTGTGGAGGGGGGTGTAGGCACGAGACTGATAGTATATGTGGTTTGGCATGCATTGACAGCACAATGTTGAAAAACTTCTCCGTGAGATGCGGCATTCAAGTTTCAAGTGCAAAAACAATTTTGGCATTGGCTAGTTATTTTTCCCTTTTCCTCCTTGTCAGCAAGAAATCCAATTGAACGCTGCCACCACACAATATACCTTTTTTTTTTTGAGCTTAAGGTCAGAAAGAGTTCCAAGTTCCAATTTTTGCACTCTGAACACTTCTATTTGATCTCTTTGAAGAGGCATGAAAAAGTCATACATTAATTATCAGATAAATATTAGGAATGAATACTAAGAACTATCTCTGGTTATCAATATCTTCTAGGATTTAATACCACCTGCATATTTGGATGAGCTTGCACTGTTGCAAGATCAAATAACACCATTTTCCACTGAAGTTGCTTTTGATACAATAGAACAAGAACTTGGATTACCAATAGATGCACTTTTCTCAGAGATTTCACCTGATCCTGTGGCAGCAGCATCACTTGGACAGGTTTTTCACGCACTTCTATTACTCTCATTTGAGAGTTTGGATTGTCTACTGTAAAATAGGAACAAAACTTATTGAGATTTTTTTCTATCACTTAACATTTGTGAAAGGTCTATCAAGCTAGACTTCGTCCTAGTGGAAAGGTTGTTGCCGTCAAAGTGCAAAGGCCAGGAGTTAGAGCTGCAATCTCGTTGGACATATTAATTTTGCGCTACCTTGCAGTGCTGGTGAAGAAAGCAGGAAAATTTAACACTGACCTTCAGGTAGTTTGGCATGCAATTATTTTCTTGCTGTTGCTGACAAAAGAGTAAGGGACTGAAATTTATAGTGGGAGATACTAATTTAGCACTTTTGTGGGCTAGATTGCATATCATATTATCTCTGTTAGGAGTATTTGCTAGATATGCATTGTGGTCCAGCATTCAAAAAGCTGGCATTATAAGTTTACAGTTTTGTCTCATTACCTTCATAGATGAGGGCCCAGTGAAGTGCATTGATATCAATTCCAATACCTGTTTCTTACTGTGTCTTGTGATCTTCAATTTGCAGGCAGTCGTCGATGAATGGGCCTCAAGTCTTTTTCGGGTACTTAATTCTCTTTCATGCTTCAGTTACAGATGTTGATACTCCCATGCATGAATGATTTCCCGTCAGTGATGTGTATCTATGATGTAATTTTGCTTTCACTGGTCATTTTAGGTTTGGAGATCTCTTGAATGCTTACACCATGACTATCCTAGACTTCAGTTAATTGTTTAACTGGTCAAATATGTTTGGTCAGAATATCTCTCTTCAGGATCATTTTCCATGTAAATGATAAGCAACTATTACTCTTTTCCACAACTGGCTACATCAGTTGTATTTTTTTAAGAGAGCAACTCGAATTTAGTTCAGGGAGCAACTCGAATTTGGTTCGTCCCTGATGTCATATCCACTGGTTTCTACTAATTTGTGTAGAAGGCCTTAAATCAACTTTTCTATGATTGAAACATCACTGGATTCCAACTTCCTCACATGATATTTATTCAATTTGCTCCTGCATTGTCACTCTTCCATCTGTATACATGCTTTTTGGATAAAATGGGTTTTCCCAAAATCTGTATTACATGATGCTTATTGCATACCATTGAGTAGTTCTATCATCTTCTAAAATTATACGCTGATACTCCAATGTTTCAATTTGCTGACATGAAGTCAAAACATTTCCTACCCACTTCTGAGATGACATGTTCAACTTTTTTCTGGTCAGAAGATTTTTCAACATCTTAAATTTCATATGAATATTGTAGTAGGATAGTGATCATGTTGCTGTGAGTTTAGACATTTAGCATTATATAACTGCTAAGTTCTAAGTGAACTGAAGTGATTGCTAGCACCAGTGATTCTAGAAATTTTGAATTTCAAAAGAGTTCTGAAATTTGACGATCAAGTTATTCTTGGGAAAAGAAGACAAAAAAATTCTAAAGATTACCTGACTACTTTACTTTACAGTCTAACCACAATAATGACAAGAAGTTTTAGACGCTCATGAAGCTACTCCAAGAGACAAGAAACTTGGTCTTTGTATTACAGAGAGACTTCAATTCCTGTCTGATAATTTGTTGAATACGACCGATACAAAAGCTGGTTTCATACATATGTGCATTACAGTGACTTATGGAAGTTAATGTCGGCCTTGAAAGAATAATTGGTACAAGATAGAGACTATTTGCATGAATAAATCAAAATAAGTGTGTGTGACATGAACATAGGTGCATCATGATGACTCAGATTTAAGAAAGTTCTAGTTTACCTAGATTGATTCTATTGTAATTATTGCTTCCTTTTGAAAAAGTTTCTAGATTATCAAGTTGTATACAGTGGCATTGTGTTAAATTTTCATATGTAAAGTCTCCCATCTTTCAGACTATTACATTGAAAGAGGAATATTCTTAGTGCTTCATATTGAATACAGGTAATCAAATTGAATGCAGGAGATGGACTATAAGAGCGAAGCAAACAACGGAGTCAAATTTAAGTAAGAGACTACTGTGCTAATAGATGTCCATCATACTTCAAGTTTAGAAGTCATCTATATTCTCATGATCCATTTGGTGTTCTATTAAGGATTCTGAAACCCAACATGTAATATGTTTGCCCATCGATGAATATCTGACATGTATGCAGTAACAACGGTTAAGTATGGTTTATTACCTGATGCTGATGTCTTTTAGCCCAACATTTCTTATTTATGATAAATCCACTAGTATCATATTCAGTTCTATTAAAATGGCATGGAATATGGCAAGGGATAAGTTTCCTCTAATGGTCTTGAAGTCTTTATTACTTCATTTTACTATGTCATTAGTTCTACTCCAGCGATCAACTTGCTTTATAGTCCTGCATAACAAAACGATTAAACCAGTTTTTTATAACTGTAACCAAATAGGCTTATGTATGTCCAAATGCATATTTCGCAGATTCATTTCCCTACATACTTGTTAATATCACTTTGATATTACTTATTATTTTTCAGATTTAAATTAAATTCCTTCACTTTATATTTATGTATCCTTATTTTGAATCTTTTTATGCAGATTCTTTAGTTGGTTTAAGCACCCCATCTTAAAAGCTTGTGCATCTTTTTTTGTCTGTGCTTTACTGCTGTCTCACATGCAATCAGATATTATTTTAATCCAATGCTTTGACTGTTGCCGCGTATATGATGAAGCAGACAGCTATATGGTGGTATACAAGATGTTCTGGTTCCTGAGATGTATGTAGAGCAAACAACTCGCAAGATTCTCATCATGCAATGGGTGGAGGTATTTTTGTTTCTATCTCTATCCAAAACCTTTCTTTTTTCCTGTGGGTACATTAAGGTACAAATAAAAAGAGAACTAACTGTCAAACTGGTTGCAAGAGAAACTTTCTTTTCTTTCCTTTTTTCTATTTTTCTAAATTTGCAACCTCATTACCACGTGTTGGAGGTCATACTGTACAAGGATTTCTTCTTTAAACCTGTGATAATGATATAGCTAAAAAGGTTTGTTATCTCATGATAGTTCTAATTTAGTCATTCTGACATTGCTAAATTTCATATGGTTCATATTTTCTGAGGGAGTGTTAGATAGCCTATTTAAAATATTAGAAAAATGCCCATTGGTCAAAGATAATGATATCTCTACGGAATATTTCACAGCTGTATTTGCGGCTTCAAGTAATGGTTATGAAGGACTTGCAATAAATTAAGTTCTATTAATTTAATTGATTGAGGAAGTCATATTTTTGCAAGATGCTACTCTTCATTTTTCTAATGTGAGTTTACAATTCTTTCTTATGTTTAATGAACGCAGGGTCAAAAACTTTCTGAAGTTAAGGATCTTTATATGATTGAGGTCAATCCTTAAACTAGTCATAATAATGTTATTTAATTAAATCAGATCTTTCGTAAAAGTTGCCTTGCATTATGTTTTGACAGATTGGAGTTTATTGCTCATTCAACCAACTTCTAGAGTACGGGTTCTATCATGCTGATCCACATCCTGGAAATTTACTTCGTACATATGATGGGAAACTAGCCTACATAGGTACTCTTTTGAAATTATGTTTACTTTATTTGGCAATAGGGGTGGATTTAAAATTCCATATTTCTTCAATGGCCTGTTTATGTTTATAATTTCAGATGAACTTTTTAGTTCTTCATAAATTAGGTTGACCTCTCTTCGGTTTATTATTAATCTGGGGGCAGTCCCCTACGCCTACAGTATTAGTTACACACTGTGTTAAATTAAGAATTACTGATCTTTTCTTTCAACTAACGGATTTTTAGTTACAATGCTAAATTTGTCAACGTCAAGAACAGTTTATATACCATTTTATGAATAACATGAATAATCGCAATTGCATTTAAGAGCGTTACATTTTCCTGCAAAGTCACATCTGAATAAAACGACCGTCTTTTGGCACCAAGTTTCCACAGTTAAGTTATCTATATGCTTCTATGTCTACGTGTTTGTATATAGAGCAACAAACATGGGTTGCTCGCTTGCCTATCATCCAACCATACTTTCATTAACAATTTTGTCTGTTAGTTGTAGCTTTAGAGATTATTGGATGGGTTAACTCATAATGGTGGTAGTGTGAGCTAGTTGTGGGTGACCAATGGAAGACAGTGATTAAATGAATGGTGATGCTGATTTTTTTCAAGTGGGCATAAATGGAGGTTGGGGAGGATGGGTGGGAGAGAATGTTTACATTTAACTTATTGTAATTAACTATAATAAAAACATTTGAGTAAATACAGATTCTGCTTCTGTTGTGTCATAAGACCAACTGATTCAACAGAAATGTCAGCATAACTTAACAGACTATCAGGAAGGAGCCTCTAGATATATGATACAATTTCCCCTTTGCGTGTCATTCTGACCAAGTATCTATTCATTTTTCCCCAAACTTATTTTCAATCACACATTCTTCCAATAAAATAATTTTGTACGTGGATCCATAACTTTTCTCTACTTTTTAACCATAAAGTCTCCCAAAAAAAAAAAATCACTTTCCACAAAGTGTGTTCTCGAAAAATCTACATCAAATAGACTCTAGATAAAAACAAATACGAATTTTTTCTGACAATTGTTTTGGGCAACAAAGGGCATCCTATTTCAATAGATGCTCTGCACAAACCAATTTATTGACATATGCACTTGCATTATTATTCTGTTTCACGTCTCCTATGGCTCTTACAGTGATTTTATTACATTTTACCTTACATACTTTGTCAATAATCAATTGAACGTTGTTTGAAGAACTTAACATCTTTACTGCCCCCCCTTCCCCAGACTTTGGCATGATGGGTGAGTTCAAACAAGAACTTCGTGACGGTTTCATTGAAGCTTGTCTCCATCTTGTAAACCGTGATTATGATGCACTGGCCAAAGACTTTGTAACTCTTGGGTACCTTTATTTTCTTCCTCTTCAATTGGGATTAAAGTTCTCTTGTTATGATTTTTTATTTGAAGAGTGACAAACTTTTTTACTTAACAGGCTTCTTCCACCAACAGCAGACAAGGATGCTGTTACTAAGGCATTAACAGGTTTGACTTCTACTTCGCATGGTAAAAGTTTATAGTTTCAACTGGTAGGGCTATGGTTATCAACTTATCTTCATTAACTTGAATAAACAATGTAGATGCATGATTTCCATATGCTGAGAATGCATTTTCACTTACGTTTTTATTTTTCGGCAGGTGTCTTTCGAGATGCTGTTGCCAGAGGAGTTAGCAACATAAGTTTTGGGGACCTATTGGGAAATTTGGGAACCACTATGTAAACGTCATTAGATGCTTTTGCTTTCAATTTAGATGTTTGTGGAGCATGTTTCGTACTTTTTATTCTTGTATGTATGTATGTATGAATGTGTGTGTTTTGTGTGTATTTGTAAAGTGTCGGAAGGTTTGTATATTAGTTATTGGGTTTTGAGAAGATATTATATAATTTAGAATGGTATATAAATGGATAGTTTTTAACTTTATGTCGTTGTAACTATTATGGTATGGCCTAAATGCTTGACTGCATCATATTTGCAATTGCTCACGAAGCGGTTGGAGAGTCAAAAGTACGATCATATATTCATTTTGACAGTTAACTATATTTTCCATTGTCTGTTTGCTTATGGCTTACATTTGCTTCGGTGCAAAATTGAATTAATCGGATAACTTTATGGCTAACGGTTGTGGAATTATAAATGTTGACGATATTCCAATTATGATGATAGTAAGAGTCGAAGCATACTTACATGCTTATGTGTACTTGTACCTTGTTGGCATTTGTATTCCATTTTGTTGGCATTGGAAATTCCATTCTAATTCTGTTCTGAGAATAAATCATAATTCCCATTTCTGCAGGTACAAATTCAAATTCAGAATACCTTCTTATTTCTCGCTTGTCATCAGAAGGTGAAGATTTTGTTTCTCTGGCATAATATCCTCTTTCTGGATAAAACTTTTGCATACTCTCATTATATGCTACAAGAAATTTCATTTTGTCATTAAGTCTTTATTTTAATTTATGAATAAAACGTGTACTATGTTACATTTAGCTAAAGTTTTGATTTCATTCACCTTCTGGAACATCCAGCCTCGCGGTTCTAGAGGGAATTGCCATTACCTTTAACCCAAATTACAAAGTTTTGGGTAGTACTTACCCATGGATTGCCAGAAAGGTGCTAACTGACACCTCACCAAGGCTGCAATCTTCTTTGCGAAGTCTTCTTTACAAGGTACTGCTAGACAGAGAAATTATTTTAGCCATAAAGGACAATCTCTTGGTTCCTTAGTTTATTATATGTTTCCTTCAAGATCAATCTCACTGTACACTAGATGTGCTTAATGAAATTGCTAATCTGACATCAAGTTTTTCCACTAGGATGGTATGTTCAACATTGAACGGTTAGAGTCACTCATAACAGAGGTAATTTACTATTTTTATGTGCAAGTTAATAATATTTCTTTTCATCATCCTGAATGGTAATAAGATTAGCCAAAGTTATGTATGTAAAAGTAAATTGAATGGTTTTTCTTTTATTCTTGCATTATTTGTTAAAGATGTTAGAATCTCTTATAATATGATTCACTAGTCATGTGATAAATAGTTCCCGTTGCAATTCAACTCTCTCTGATCCCTGGCAGTTGCATTTCTCTGCCATCATCAACTAAGAGCACCTGGTCTATCAAATTTATTGAGTCTTATACAGGACATAGACAATAATAGTTTTTTGCTTCACATTAATAGACCATATGGATAGCTGAGTAGTCTACCCCACATTGAATTCGTGAAATACTTTATTGGTGGAATCTATCCTTGCATGCGGTAAGCCTCTTATTTCAACTCTCTTATTCGCTTAGGCTACGTCAACATCCCACTCCAGCCACTCGCCGGCCAAACAATGGAAGTCATTAGTAGAAAAATATTATGCTGGTTTTATTATCTTAAATATTGCTTGCCTGGTCACTCTGCGTGTTACAGTAAACTGGAATCTGAAGAATACTAAGTGTGCCAAACATCTAATAGAAAGTTATGCAAGGGGTTGAGCATCTCACCAACGTCACCATCAGGGGTCAAATTTTATCTATCAATATTTTTAGCAGCACATAGAAGGATTACTAAAGCCGTATCATCATTACATGATAATTACTTGGGTTAATTACTCATTATTAATGTCATTTTAACTCCTTGTCGACTCACATTTCTCCTCATGTACAGCTCATGTTATTTTTAGCTCCTAGATGATGTTGCTGTTTTAATGACAATACTCATGAGTAAATCATCTGATTTGACCCTTCTCAACTTGCATTGATCTCTTCAATGAGTTGATTGTTTTAGCAAATTCAATGTGTATGATTCCAGTAATAATAATGTGACTTTTGTATTTCAAATTGACCATAGTAAGTTCTTTTCTGTGTTATCAACTGTTTACAACATGTATTATGCTCATAAGATATATAATTTCTCCATATTAGTATTTAATCCATCTGTTAGACCATTCAGACGGGATGCAAAAATGATGTATATCTTTCTTGAATCTATTTTCACATGCTAGAGATCCTATATTGTTCCACGGCCCTTCCAACTGTGCCTTTTTGTTACTTTCCATTTGCATTGAGTTAGTTTTTCTCATCTTGATTTTTCCATCGTGTCAGTCGCTACGTGCCAAGACAGAGAGAGCTTTGATTAAGAAGCAAGTAGGGTCTGACAACTCCAGGATGGTTATCAAGCAAATCCTTTTCTTCACTTTGGATGAGAAGGTATTCCTAACCTGTAACCTATAGGAAAAAAGATAACCATATTACTTATAAACATTTTAAATACAATTACTTTTTTGCAGGGTGCATTTGTGAGAGAAATTCTTCTTGAAGAATTTGCTAAGGTATGACATCGGACATCTTTTGTTGTCGCTTGTGTGGAAATTACAAATATTTGATATCATGCCATTAGACTGAAAAACAATCTTGGTTAGCAGAGAAATTGAGAAGCAGCGTCAGCCATGTTCATGAATATGACTTGCTTTCTTTGTTGTAAAAAAATCGCCAAGCTTTCATATCAATCTGCTTCAAATAATCTACTCTTTTGCCCCCACTAAATTTAAAGTTGAACCTCTTTGACCTCCAATTGCAACCAAACTTTCTCCCTAAACCCTTCTTTTTTTCCACTCCCACCTTCAAAATCAACCCACTAAAGCATCCACCATTTGCTGCTACACTACCACTACAAGCTTCTGACATCCCTGTACCAGAACTCTGAGCCAATGCTGGTGAGCTACATGATTGATTCAGAATGAAAGCTGTTAAAAGATTGGATTATTACAGATGTACCAGTGCTGACATTTATAATTTTGTTCACTTTGTCATTGTGATCTTACCATTAATTTTCTTTTCCTTAAATCTGCATATTAGTGGTAGGGTTAGTATTATTATAGTGTAAGGGTAGTTCCTAGGCCTGACTCTGGCTATCCTGTCCTTATATTTTAGAAGTTAATGTTCTAAATTTTTGGATGATTTCATTCTTTTTATTCTCTGTCAATGTTCCTTGTAGGAACTAAATGAGTAGTTTGTTAATTTTATTTTTTTTGCTTTTATTGTGCTGGTGGAAGTAAGTTTAATTTGAAATTTTGACCCATGGAGGGTGGCTACTACCATGCGGTAATCATAGGCTCTAATTTGTTATTCTTACCGGAGGCTGTATTCATGCTGCATATATTTTACGAAATTGCAAACAAGAAAGAAAAGAAAGAAATTTTGTAACATTGAGTTGGTCACCTAACCTAAAATTTTGTACCATATCTGGCCAAGACATTTGGGTTGAAAAAGTTGGAGAGGTTGTTGGAGACTGGGTCTAGCATCATAAATCTGAATGATCCAGCAACTGAATCAGGCTGAGATATCAGCTCAAATGAGTTTATATTAAATTACAATCTTATATACCCTGGATACTAATTAATATTAAGTTCTGGGTACACATGTACTAGCTAAATAGTAATCAAGAGTATTATTACCAATAATTGCAGGGATTGGATGCACTTGGACTAGCAACCCTGGATTCAGTAACACGTGCAATGACGGCAAACATACCCTTCACAGCTTCAGGTTCTTTCTCCTCCATGACTAATGAAGATATCACCAACCTGCAAAATTTGCGTCGCCTCTTGGCATTGATATCAGGAGTACAAGAGACTGGAACATCTAACATGGTAAGATATTTTACTTTGGTAATATGGTAATTAGCAGTCAACAAGCAATGTCAAGGGGAATTACGTCTTTTTGAGTGAATGAGTGCACACATGTCTGATAGGGAAAAGGAGGATTTTGCTATGTGAGTTCTCCAATTAGGATTTAAATTGCTAGAAGTGTTTCTCTAATATTTGACTTGACAATATAGTCATCGGCAGTCAAAATCTTTTTTCCTTGTATTTTCCTTTTTGTGTTGGTCTTTTGAGTAGTCCATTTTGCAGAAAACAGGTGAAAGTTTTATCATATACATGTACTTCAACTATGCACTATATGAGGTCACAGATGCAGAAGTGCAGTTATAGATCTTTGTGGTTGACTGAAGAGCGATCCTTTTTAATGGGTTATTGTGCATAACTTGACATTATCTTCAAAATGAGTAATTTGAATAATTTGGCATTTAGACTCCAAAAGCAAGTGGAAATATTATTCTAGTTTTGCTAGGCTTAGTTAAAGGAACTATTGAAATGTAACAAATGGTACAAGGAAATTTAACTAATTACGTCCATTGACCTCAGTAAAATATATAAAATTCAGAAACTGTATTACTATCGGTAACTTTGATATCTACACTTACTGTGCATGTTTTATTTTTTAAGTTCAAGGGAACTTTATCTGATTGAACTTGTTTGGAATAGATCTTTATACATTTTTCTCAATTTGTCCACCATGTCCACAATTTTAGTTGCATTCTTTTGTTCTTACCTGCGATTGTCCAGTTCTGAGCGTGCCCAAAAATCTTAGACAGTGTGTACTCTCGGAGAATAAGAGAGCCTTCTAGTTAAAAGGAAGATAATTTGCTAATTATATTTTGACAGGGGGATCAAGGAGTCGGCTGTCCATACAAAGATCAGAGGCCACCCTCAAATGGAGCATCGCTGGTTCCTTACCAATTTCAATCTTTTCAAGAAATAATACCGCTCCTCTCCATCGTTGCTGAGGTTCGCATAAAGAATTATACCATTTGATGCATCATTAGGCCTGATAACAATGTAATAAGATCATTTTCCCCAGCGTGATTATCTAGTAAGAAACGATGTTAGAAGTTAAAGAACTGGCTCAGGTTTTTCGTAATCCTTTCATGAATACTGCTCCCAGACACATAATAACAAGAATTCATGCTTAGTATCAATTAGCAGATTCGCAACAGCTTATACTTCGGTGATGCTTTTTCTGATATATAAAATGCATCGACTTTTGACAGCTCCCACAAGAGACACAACAGCAATTACTACGCCTGCCAGCTGATCTGGCTGCTAAGTTAGTTTCCCGGGTCACTGCACGGACAATAAGGAGGGCCTTCTTATGAATAAATCCACCAATACAGCTGATTTCTTAGATATTATACAGAATGGCTCTACTTCTGTTACTGATGATGTTGCTTCGCATATTCAGAAGTTTTAGGTCTAGCAAAATAATTGGTTACCTGAAAATTTTGGGCCATCGAAGACGACTCCCTATTCAGCAGCAGGTTTAGAAAGACGTTATTGTACTTCGATCCCAGTCTCAAGATTGGAGAGCTTAAATCCAGGTGCTGTTCTTGAGTTCTTTATACAAAACATTTTAAGGATGAAAGACATCATAAGTAGAAAAGTATATGGAACAAAAAAAGATACGGTTATTTTTTCTATATCGAAGTAAATTTTCAAAACTACATCATTTCAAAATTTTGTCTGTGCATGGAATTAGAATAGACAACAATGAGCCTATATAACATCAATTTCCTTCGATGGGGATCCAGTCTTTCGTTACAAGATTAGAATTGAGTCGAGATGATTGATTTGTCTGATATGTATTAATGTATGTGTTAAGCAAATGAATCTTTTTATTGGATAGTGGAAGTGTACGAGCCTATTCCTAGAAAGTTGGTTGCTTCCTAGCTTGAACCATTTGAAATTGATTACAACCACTCTGTTTCTCTAGTTTCTATTTCTTACGAGTGAGATGAATTACACAAACCATTTTCGTGCTTGGAGTCAGGGGCGGAGCCCAATAATGCCCAGGGTGGGCACAGGCCCATCCTGAACTTCTGGGCTCATTTTTTTTTACTAATATGCTAAAGCTAAACGGCCCAACTTCACCTACCCAGCCCAATCCAAAGACACTAGGAACATCACTGCAGGTCTTCAGTTCTCGCCTAAGTCGCCCGTTCACTTCACGACATTTTCGTCTCTCGCCTGAGTCGCCACTGCCTCTGTTGACTGTTCTCCTCGTCCCGTGACTCCCCCATCGTCCGTCTCTCTAACCAGTCACCTCTGCCTGACTACCTCTGTTCTCCTCCACTTCAGGCTCTGTTGAGTGTTGTCCTCGACTCCTCATTGTGCAGAAACTGAGAAAAGTGAGGTATAATCTGCGATTTTGCTTGAGAAGTTTATTTTTTTGTTCATACTGCGGTCTGCCGTCGCCCCTCACCTGTCTGCGTTTGATTAATTGATTTAATGCAGTATTTGATGTTTGAGCTTGTTAAAAAATCCGTATTTGATGCTTGATGTTTGAGCTTTAGGATCTGCTTGAGAAATTTGGGTATTGATGTATTCTTGAACTTGAATTGAAATTGTTGTGTACTCTGTAGTCGGATTGTTGAACTTGAATTGAAATTCTTTGGCCTTTGGGTATTGTTGAATTGAAATTGTTGAAATTTGAGTATTGTTGAATTGGAATTGAAATAGTTGAAAATATGCTTTTAACTGTTAAAACATGTTTGATTGGCCTTGCAATGAAACTTATTCAACTACCTAAGAGAGAATTAAAGAAAGCTAATATCATGTTTGTTAAATAACTAAACTGAAGAACTGGTCCTACACTGACTTGTAGCTATGACACTGAATTCTTTACAAGCAGAGTTTCTTTTGGTTTTCGCCACTTGCCGATTCAAGGAGTGTGTCATAAACGTTATCACCTTGGTTTAAGTTTCCATTAGACCATGCTCCATATTGTCTACTCATATTATATCTTTTTCTCCAGACAGTTTGGTTGATTACACTCATACTATTCTTCTCTGTTGTATAGGATTTCATACTGGAATGCATCTACAGTATCACATCATTGGAGGACAACCATGTGCTTGAAGCATCAAAAGACCCTGGTGGTGCCACGGTTATTGAAGCATTTCTCAATTCAAATGCTTCGACTAAACATAAGTGCAAGTTGGTTATCAAGTATGTTATAAGTTTCTCATTTCCCTTCTTGTTATGTTGCATGTATTGATGTTTTATGTCAATTGAAGTTTGATTGAACAACTTCGTCGCCAAACAGTTTTATCTTGTCGAAGACTAGTTCCCAATGAGCTCTTTAAAGAAACAATCACATAATGAACATCAGATAGAATATTGTAAGAAAATTGAAATTTCAAAGTCACCGTTGAATGCCAATCTTTATTATCTTTGTTCATGTGAGATAGCATGCCTTGCACATTCTCATCTGCGAAGCTTATAAAAGGAATATATTTTTATTTTATTTTATCAAATTTAGGTGTCTGAGAAGTTCTTGATTTTATGGATGAGACTGTAAATTGAAGTCAACTACTTCTCAAGAGATTCGAAGTGTACTGTGGATTTTTTGTAGGCATTACATGAAAGTTCATGTAATGCTAAGCCTAAAAGTTCCAATGTTCTTAAAATTATGCCCACAGAAGATCATAGAGGATTTCCATCGATAACTTGTGCCCACCCTGACAAAAATTCCTGGCTCCGCCCCTGCTTGGAGTGAAAGATTAGGCAGGTGGTACGGGCTCTCTTACGAGCATGTTTGGCTAAGTTTAGACCAATAAACTTATCAGTCGATCTTTATTCTTAATAAAGTTAAGGGGTGTTTGATTAAAAAACGTAGTCAACCAAAATTTTTGCTTAGAAGGTTTCCGCCCACTGAAAGTCCTAGATCCCCAATTTAATTCACCATTTTCCCTTCATTCTTCAAAATCCTTCGCCATTATGAATCCTAATTTCTTCTCTTTTCTTCTTCTTTCTTTGCATTATCCGCCAAGATTAATTGCATTAAATGATTTGTCTTTAAACAACACTTTTATGTTATGTTATATTATTTTCTATTAGTTTTTCTTTAGAATCATGCTACATTAAGGGTCCGTTTAATTACAAGAGAGGAATTTGGGTGGAAATAAAATGAATTTTAGGGAATTGAATTGCCTAGAATTGTTTTCCTGGGAATTGTCAATTAATTGTGTTTGATTGGTATAATTTTTCACGTGGAAAATATTAAAATTTTGGATCTTTTGGTATTCGTTTGCCTTTGTTTTTTTATAGAAATTGTCCATTAAAGAGATTTTTTTTTT